ACAACAATGGTCTTAATCAAGAAGGTAAAAACGAGTGAATGGTCAAACCATATACATATGTGACCATATGAAAATATAGATAATTGGTCAGTATTTAAAACCTTAAATGTGCAAAATGCAATCTTTATTAATACCATAAGAATATATATACAATTAAATAAAATAAATCTAAATAAAATGAAAAAAATAAATAAAAATAAAATAAATTAATCATTAATAACTAAAACCACTATCCCATTATGTACACATATATAATACCAGGAATGAATACTAAAACCTAATAATACCCACTCATGCAGATACCCCGAGGAAGTCACGAGCAGTCTGTGACGTAACGCATAGGTACGCTAATACGGAGCTTCCGGTGCGCGGTGACGCACTTCCGGCGTTGGTGCCCATCTTGGTATACCCAGGAAGTCCCATACACATGCAGTACACCCATACATCGGTGAGGAGGGAGAACTGCTTGACATAAACTTCCTGTCTGGGGCAACGGGAGCCCTTTAGGAGATCCACTGCATGAGGATTGTTACCAGCCCTTATGGTAAAGGATCCAGGGTGATACTGAAAGCTGTTTGGCCCCTGGGGGTCACCGGGAGGAGGTGAGGAGGCATTTTAGCCGCAATAGAAAAAGTGTTTTGACACGGTCACGGAATTACAAAGCACCATTGCACATTGCATGAACGCATCCATCACATATTGTTTGCTGTATGGACTTTTTGATTATTTGAGTGTTTTAAAGTGTGGACACTTATCTGGCACCTAATCGCTTTTGGTTATCCCCTTTTTTCAAAGGGGTCTACATCATTCTTTGTGTGTATACACGGTTTATGAGTCACTTTATTTATAGTGGCACTATATATTTAATTTAATTACTTATTTTCATTGTTTCATTTTGGCACTTTATTGTAATATCTTTGCACTTTTGAGTGTATTTATTCACACCCAGTGGTTTAGTATTTAATATTATTATTTTTGAGTGAGGGCTGCACTATTTGTGAATCATTTAACACTGTTTAGGTATCAGTTTTGAGTGTTGGCAGCTTCAAGTGAGGTTACACTTCCTTTTAAGCGCAGGAGGACCCTGGTTTATACCCATACATTTACAATCTTATAAATTCCTCACAGATCACTACTAAAATATTATAGAATATTTAAAATTTAATATTTAATAATATAATAATAAATATACTAAAATGCCAATAAAAGTTATCAAACTAAAATAGCCAATTAAAAATCACTAATAAAAACAATTAAGGTCAAACTCAACATTTAAATCTTTGGGGACCTGTGTACCCATATGGTATAGCCATCTCGACTCGGCTTTACTGAGGGATCTAACCTTGTTACTGCCCCTCCATTGCCGTTTATATTTTTCAATGCTCCAAAATTTCAATGTTAGGGGATTCTTATTATTATATATAGCAAAATGTTTTGAAACACTATGCTTTGGAAATCCTTTTCTGATATTCTGTATGTGTTCCCTTAACCTTTTCCACAAAAGCCTCTTAGTTCTTCCTATATACTGTAGGCCACAATCACATTCAAGGCAATAAACCACTCCCTCTGTTCTACAACATATAAAATCCTTGATTTCATATTCTTTACCAGTAGCATTCGCTATGAACTTTTTCCGTTTACTATTCTGTCCTTTTGTAGCCAAACATGCATAACAATTTTTACATGGGAAAAAACCCTTATTATCCAGGAATGTGACAACTTTATTTTTAATAGGCGGGTCTAGTACATTTTTAACTACTTTGGATCTAATAGTAGGCGCCTTTCTGTATATAAACCTAGGATAATCAGACAAAACATTATGTAAAACAGGATCCGATTTTAAAATATTCTAATGTTTTATAAAAATCTTTTCTACTTTTTTATGATGGATATTAAAATCTAGTACAACCGCTAACTTTTCCCCAAATTCTTCATCTTTATTTTTATCTTGAAGCAGAGTTGACCTATCCATATTCCCTATTTCTTCAATTCTATTGTTAATAATTTCTTCTGGATACCCTTTATCCATAAAGCGTACTCACAATTTATTTGCCTGTTCAAGGTAATCCTCCTTCAAAGTGCAATTACGCCTAATTCTAACAAATTGACCTTTGGGAATATTATAGAGCCAAACTGGGTGATGGCAACTTCCTAATGGAATGTAACCATTCCTATCCACCTTTTTAAAAAATGTTTTAGTTAAAAACTTTCCTTTGTCATTTCTGATATTAAGATCCAAAAAATCTATCTCTTTGTTACTATACTCCCAGGTAAACTTAATATTCATATTAAGTTTATTATTTATTATTTAGTTTATTCATAAATACCAATAATGTATCAAGACTTCCCTCCCAAATAATCAGAACATCATCAATAAATCTTTTATATAGTTTTTAATTCTTCTGGGTAATTATGATAGATAACCTTATCTTCCCAGTGGGCCATGAATATATTTGCTACAATGGGAGAAAATCTTGCTCCCATTGCAACCCCTTTAATTTGCTTATAATAAGTATTGCTATGCCAAAAGTAATTATGATTAAGACAGAAGTCCAAACACTCCAATAAAATTTTTCTCTGTGTCCATGATAAATTACTATATTGTCTGAGGCCTCAACCAACCGAGTTCATAGCATCCTCATGACCAATAATAGTATATAGAGAGGCTACATCTGCACTCGCCATATAAATCTCTGTATCTCTTACCATCGATCCCGGCATTGGGCATAGAGATGAGTGCAGGAAAGATGGCCGCCACTCTATATCCTTGGAGGAGCAATGTCACTTCCCGTTCCGGTCATTTGTTGTTTTTTTTTATAAAGCGCTATATCAATGCTTTTTTTTTTATCCAATGCTTTACATTGCAGAGGAGAGATGTGGGGTCTTATTGACCCCATATCTCTCCATAAAGAGGACCTGTCATTAATTATTTCTATCACAAGGGATGTATGCATTCCTTGTGATAAGAATAAAAGTAATTATATTTTTTTTAAAGGAATAGTGCAAACAAAAAACCAAAAAAACATGTAATACATTATTTTAAAAAAAGTTTAAAGTGCCCCCGTCCCCCCATGCTCGCACGTAATGGTGAACGCATATGTAGGCCATGCCCACATATGTAAATGGTGTTCAATCCACACACGTGAGGTATCGCCACGAACGTCAGAGCAAGAGCAATAATTCTAGCACTAGAACTCCTCTGTAACTTTATACTGCTAACCTGTAGAACTTTTAAAAGCATCACCCATGGAGATTTTTAAGTACCACAGTTTCACGCCATTCCACAAGCGTGCTCAATTTTAAAGCGTGACATGTTGGGTATCTATTTACTTGCTGTAAAATTGGGATATATATTGGGTTTTTTTTAATCAGTGTATTTTTTTCAAAAAAATATATATTCATTTTTAAAAAACTGCGCATTTCGGTTTTCGGCCAAGTGCATTTTGAATTTTTGGTTTCAGCACCAGAATTTTAAGTTGAATAGAACAGCTTCTGATTGGCATTTTTAAATTACCGTATTTTCCGGCGTATAAGACGACATTTTAACCCCTGGAAATCGTCTACAAAGTCGGGGGGGTCGTCTTATACGCCGGGTGCTGTGCTGAAAACCTTACCATACTTCCGGTTGACGCTACTGCGCATGTCTTCGGCAGCAGTAGACGATCGCGGATCACCGTAGCTCGCAGAACTGCATGAGACGTCGGATGCAGCAATGCTCGATTGAGCTTGACTGAAACTGTGATATGCAGAGAAGGGATACACAGTGATTCTGCGCATGTCACAGTTTCAGTCACGATCAATCGAGCACTGAACGGCTGCATCCGACGTCTCATGCAGTTCTGCGAGGAATGGTGATCAGTGATCGTCTACTGCTGCCCTAGACATGTGCAGAAGTGTCAGCTCGGAAGTACCGGTATGGTACTGCTGCATCCGACCTTGTCCCCTTAACTGCTATGAGATACGGTAATTAATTATTAATATTATAATGTCTGTGGCAGTTCTGTGCAATTTATGGTATCTTGGAGACAGGCAGGGCTGGGCAGGCAGGGAGAGCTGACCCACCCAATCCAAGCAGGCTTTGTATGCAGTGTGCACAGTGTGCACAGAAAATACTGGTACATTGCTTGCCATGATTGGTTGGAAGAGGGGGGTAGTCTTTATACGGCGAGTATAGCCCAAACCCTATATTTTAACAGGAAAAGTAGGGGGGTCGTCTTATACGCCCAGTCGTCTTATACGCCGGAAAATACGGTAGCTTTCTTGCGTAGCTTTAGAGTAAGCTGTACAGGTAGGAATTAGGAGGTTGCCATTGCTGACAGTGATGGAAAAATGCTAATTGTTTAGCTGTCACTGGTTTCGGTACTTTAAAGAAGTAGTAAACTGCACAAAGAACAAAAAAAAAAAAAAATCTTCTCCCTGCATAACATACTAGTGTGCATCACACGCACATTATGAAAGACTTACCTGAAAACGAAACCCTCCAGTGGAGCGCTGTCTTGGCTCCCCAAGGCTTCCATCTTCACCTGGTCTTCCTTCCGGGTTCATTGGCTGCGGCCGTTTGGGTGAGCCGCCGATGATGTCACTCCCGCACATGCGCGTGGGAGTCTCGGCAGCAGCATAGCTCTCTCAATGGGCGGCACGCACTGTGAAATAACCAGAGCTACAAAAGTAAATATCTCCTAAACAGTGCACATTTAGGAGATATTTTTACGGTACCTACAGGTAAGCCTTATTAAATGTTTACCTGTAGGTAAAAAATTTAAAAATCGACTTTACTTCAACTTTAAGGCACCGACATGGAACAAGCATGTAGATCAGAACAATACTGGTATGCATACTTATTCTGAGTCAGTGGCTAGATAAGTAATAGAGCTATTAGATCACCTTGACAGCCAGGGAACTAATATTTATAAAATATACTTCCCGCTTCCTCACTGCAGGTTTCCTTTAAAGCTGTAGACTTTGTACTGATTATATGAAATGTTTCTCTCTACTTTTACAGGTATTACATGGGGGAAAGTAGCCTCATTATATGCAGTAGCGGCAGGCCTTGCAATGGACTGTGTGAAGCATTCTCAGCCTGCCCTTGTTCTCACCATCGTGGACTGTGTGGGAGAGTTTATACGAACAACCCTGGTCACGTGGCTGAAGAGGAGAGGAGGATGGGTAAATTACTTTTATGTTCTAAGTTTTTAAAACAGAATCTATCACAAAGCAAAATAGATGTGTGAGAAAGGTTTGATGGAAACAGACATTTCCAGGATCATGTACCCAATGCTAGTCCTGGAACTGCAGGAACAGTATAGTAATACTTACAGGTCTTGTCCCTCCCCTAGTCCGTGCCTGGGTAGTGAAAGGGGAAGCAGAAGGCTCTTGGTCATGCTGCTCTCAACCTCCTGTCAGGATGCTGTTTTCTAACATAAACTCTGCAGCACAATGGATAGGCTTCTTGTGCTGCTTCTCATTCTAGCAATCTGGCAGTGCCAGAGGTTGACACCGAGTCAAATTCAGGTACTTACACCACTCGCATAAAATAATATATTTAAAGTATTACTAAAGGCAAATTTTTTTTTAGAATTGCAGAGGGATTGGAACACCTGTCAGTTTTTATTGCTGTCTGTGCCTCTGTTAGCGAGATTCACCCTCTCTATTTGTCCTGTTTACCATTATCGTTGAAAGTGTAAGTAAAAGAAAATCCCAAATTTTGGGTTGCCCCCAGAAAAGTAATAGAATGGAAATCTTCCAATGGGAACACTAGTTTTGGTGACCTGGGGTCCCCATAGAATTCCCTTTATTTTCAGGGATTTCCTCTCACTTCCTGTTTGGCTATGGGACAGGGAGTGGTGGGAAATCCCTGCAATGGGATACAGATGGCGAAAAAAAATCTCACAGGGGTTATGACTCACCCATGCTCGATTCAAAAAGAAAAAAACAATTGCCTATAATTCTACTTTAATTATGTAGTAATGAATACAGAGCTGCATTCTTCTGTGTACTTGTTACACGTTTGAAGTTCAGCTTTAAATAGTGTACAGATGAGTCAGAAAATGCCTGCTTTTATCAGAGCCTTTTCTGATTTACTTCAAAGTGCACTTGCCATGGGAGAAGTATGTAGGCTGCAATTGCTAACCTCTCCTTTTAAAATATTAGTTCCCTGATTGCCATGCTGGTATATTGCATATAGTGCTTTCTGACTAACTGTCCCTGAGAAATTATAGAGAAAGACTCCATTCACACTTGTTCGACTCAAAAGTTGCACAACTTTGACACAACTTTAAGCGAGTGCGACTTGGATTTGACTTGTCCCTCTGCAAAGTCAGACCCACTGTGCTACTACTGTTGCATGTAAAACATTCAGGTATGACTTTCATGCAACGTTTGAGGGTTAACATTGAGGTTTATGGCCCTCAAGTTGCATGAAATCAGACCAAAGTTGTGCATCAACTACTTTGAAGTTGCTGAAACTTTAACTCACACATATATGAATGATTATCATTGAAAAACATGGGGTACGACTTATAAAAACATCAAGAGGGTGCTGTCCCTAAAAATATGCTAGTCATTAACTCATAATATATCAATAATACTGCAATATGAAACAAGGTCCATCAAATTTGAAAAACGGTTTTTATTGTGCCAAAAACCAACACCAATTCAGTGAACGTACTATGACCTGAGCCTGATTATTCTTATAAGTGCTCCACCACCTGTGCCAATCCAATGCACTTACAGCAGATGCATGACCACCTTAGTTAAAAGGAAGGTTATATAGTGCTTGTTATCCCAGCCACATAAGTACAGCTCACTTGTTCCAACCTCTTTAGCTCTACAGTGTCTTTAAAAAGCCTCAGCCACTTTCCACAACCATCAAGCATGGATCATGAAAAAGGTATCTCATAGTGTAATATTTATTGAACGTCATGAATAAAAACAAGATAAAATATTGCACTTACAAATGATGGTAAACAGTACCTCGGCACTAACACATAAAGCAGGTTAGCACCACTGCTCCTCTTCCTGGATCTCGGTGTGCGTTCCCATCCCCAGAATCGGAAGTGATGTCACTAGTAGACAGGATATGATGACTGTAAAACTAGCATTTACATGTTTCGCCGCATGGCGTCTTCAGGAAGTTGTAGCTTCCTAAAGACCCATGCGGAGAAACAAGTAGAGATCACCACTGTGATCTTTTGGCCCCTCTTCCCTCCCCCACAGCCTTCTAAGACACACACAGGTACCAGAAGACTTTGAGACCAGTCACACAACGCATGCGCAGTAGGAAACCAGCTGTGAAGCTGGAAGGCTTCACTGCCGGTTTCCCTTACCCAAGATGCCAGCTCCTGCACCCTAAGCCAATTGAAGAATCAGCTTTGGCAAGGACAGGTAAGTGTCCTTATATTAAAAGTCAGCAGGTACAGTATTTGTAGCTGCTGACTTTTAATTTTTTGGGGGGAGACTGGAGCTTCACTTTAAAGTTGCCATGGCCATTCCATCAGTTCATAAGAACTGTGCATGCATAAAGGCTGTTGTAAACTCTTTGTTGCTCCTTCTGGGATGAAGAAAGCTAAAGTAAGTAAACTGGATTTTACCAAGGAGTCTGTGCAGCTGCTGTCTATGGATTCCTAGAGACCCCTGACATGAGTGAGATAGAAATAGAGTAGGTGCTCACAGCAGCTTCCATACACAGGTACTGTTGGATGGAAAAGTAAAGCTGGCCATACAAAGATCAAAATTTGTTTGGTTCAACAGGAAGCAGCCAAATTTCGATCCACGTGTAGCCCACCCTGTTCAACAGAAGCTGGTTGTTAGACCAGCTTCTGTTGAATGGTCTTGCTAGAAAGTCGCATTTGATCAGCACATGCAGCAAATGGACTGCAGTATTGATCAATGCATTCTGACAGTAGGGGAGTCTCACTGTCAGAATACAAAAACACAGCAGAGATGATTTCCCCATCCGCCTTGAATGTGTGGATGGGAAATACCAAAAATACTGAGACATGTATGGAAAACGTAAGAGGAATAGCATGGTTTACTTGACCAAGGTATTGTGGAGATAGTAGACATAAACAAAAGTTATCACCCACATTAATCCCCCCTCCTAAAAGAAAACACCACACTTACTGTGTGGACTTGAATGGCTACAGCAGACTTTTTACCGTAAAATGTGAAAACCACTATACATCACTAATACTAATACACTCTCTAAAACAAGAGATAAAAGGTCTTTGAAGATCTGCAAGGAACAAAAATCAAATCTGTGTCTTCAATCCATAACAAAGGCTTCCAGTTATACCACACCACATTGGAGAAGGTCTCTTGACCATTATAGGAGACACTGCAAGTCAAATATTTAAACTAAAAACATAGTAAGAATGGGGTCCATACCTCAGATGGATCCCCAACCCTATCGCACCCTAACTCATAACAGTGCCTTTAAAGACCCCATGCCCCTTCCAGCTGCCATGACATAAATAACATTACACTGGAAATATTACCAAAATTACCCCCCTTTTCTGGAATTGACTACCAATCAGGTAGGTGTCAGCCCCCATTTAACCATTTCAGTTTCCTAATTTAACTTCTTAGTTGACCAATTCACCCCAAATGACAGTCCTGTAGGCTTTACAATTAAAGCTAAACTCCAGGCACAAAAATGGTAATTTAAATATATTATTCAAAAGCTACAGATTATATAAATCTACTTTGTGTGCACCAATGCCTTTGCAAACCCCGTTATTACCTTGTAAAAGTAGCAGTGACAGCATCACTGTGCTGTATATAACCTGTACAGAGAGTAGATGGTCCCGGCAGACACATCCAATGCAGGCTGAGACAAGACAACAGATATGACGGGTCTTTATTGTCACGATCGCAGCGTCAGACCCTGTTACTGGGTCAGGTTAATTAGGCAATTAACCATTCACACTACCACCACCTCCTTTTTAATCAGAGAAAGAGGAAACTCGGCTTTCCGCTATAACACTATAATGGTTGATTTAACCGACTGCATAACACGGTCATCACACAGGCCTGTTATACAGAGGGTTAAAACAAACAGTAGCGTCTCTTTAAAGGCAGGGATTCGTAAATTGCAATTAAGAGCTATAGAAACAGTTCAAAACTTTCAGAAAGAAAGATTTATTACTAAAAGGGTCAAACAGGTGCAATAAAATTATTTACAGAGAAGATGTAACTAAGATATATATATGTACAGAAAACAGCACAGCACAGCCAAGAGATAACAGGGAGAGGTTAAAGGGTTAAGTTACTTGCCATTAAGCCTTGGATGTAAGCAGATCACGTTTCACGTTTCAGAGCGAAAGGCACAGGTCTCTCCAGGTGGTATATTGATGTTAAAATTGGAGATGTCTTCAACTAACTTCTCTTAGGCTTGACAGCCTGCTTTAAAGTTTCCCAGCAGGGGATGGTTCTGAAGTAAAAGACCAATCCTCTGTTTAGGGAGGGATTGTCGGGCGGAACCCTAAACTGGAGCCCACATCTTTCCTAATTCATATTCTGGTTCATAACTTCCCATCTGCACAAGCGACAGTCCACCCGCGGGTATATTATTATGCAGACAAGCCTGGGGATTATTTAGATATGAATTATGAAATTGTAACCGTGTAGGTTCACGAGATCTATTTCTCTGTCTTCCCGTGTGCCCGAGATAAGGCGAGTGACCCATCAAACTGTTCGCCTGCTCATCGTCCATCCGATGAGATGTCCGGTTTTTATGTTGGTCTCTCATATTCCAAGATATGAGACATAGGGGAAAAATTGATTTCTTAAAAATGTTACATGGTGTGGGCTTCTTGGGAATACCTTGAACTCCTGGGAAGGCTCCGTTATCTTTTCACGAGGCGTGAAATTACACAGGTACTTTGGCCAGTGAGACTCCAGCTCTCTTGGGAAAGCTGGTCCTATCTCTTCCTAGGTGAGAAAGGATACAGCTTTCACAGACAGCTCGGCACCTAGCTAATGAGGCCTTGGCCAGCCAGTGACCCATAAACAGTACACACACACATCTGTCACTGTGCCTCTCAGGAAGGGAGGGGGAAGGAGAATGAGGGAATAACATGGCTACTCTTAACAAAATGGCAGACTGCGTCAGTCTCTGTTGCGCACATTTGCGACATTTATTACTGGAAGATCCTGCACAAAGGCAAACTTTCACACTGGATTACTGTACAGATCTATACACAAAGCACACCAAGAGTGAAGGAGGTGAGGAGGCAAGCTTTAAGCCTACTGCTTTGCTCCAGGCCTAACTTGACCAGTACAGTATCTCATAGATACTTGGCTATTTTTTCTGAAAGACACTGAAGATGTCATATAATGCAAAATAGGTAAAATATGTGAAAAGCACTACAATATGTAATTAGAGTAAATTGTATATCCCCAACCCACTGTCCAGGCTGCTGCTTCAAGTGGCCTGTAGATTCAGTTCAGCCTGGGACCAAAAAGAGTTGCCTACTTTTGGAGGGCACTTACATTAAATACAGTCATGCTAAGGCTAAATAAGCACTGGGTATCACTATACACTGAAGATTCTTAGTTATTTTCTACATCACAGCATATCTGTTTTTATGTTCTGGGGGGTTGGGGTGGTCATATACCTACCTGTATCTATACCAAACTGCTTTGCCTTTATAGTTAAACTTTTTTCAAGTCAAGTTTGTTCCCCTATAAGTAGTTCTCTAGTATGAATTTGTACATTTATTAATTTCTTTATTTTTGTAATTATTATTATTATGCAAACCATAAGGCTATCTAGTTGCTCTCAGCAACCTGTTCTGTCACCTGACGGAATAGCTGTCTTTTTATTACTTTTCTTAAGACTTAAGCTTATGGAAAACAGTATCAGACCATATTTTAATAATGAACTCAGAGTCCAGATATCTCTTAAGCCGGATTAAAGGGAATATGACGCAGTTTAAATACCAGGAATGCACTAGTAAAACAACTGTAGTCTCTGGTTTTCTTTCTTGATAATATTAGGATTACTAGACTTCTATTACTGCAGTAAGGTCATGTTGGGATCAGTGTTAGCCTGCGGATAGACAAATAACTCTTCTTACAATGTATAACAATTAATTTTGGACCAATTTATAGGTCTGCTTTGCTGATTGAATTGCTTAGTACGTTACAAAACAATAAATAAAGAACAAGAAAAGTGGGATTTATTCAGATGCATAAGCATCAAAGTTGCTAATCAAATGTAAAAAAAAAAGGTTTCATGATGCTTCCCTACATATTACATCTCTGCAGTTATCTTAACAAACTGAAACATTTAAATAATCACATCTAACCACAATATAAGAGTGCATAATTCACAATGGTTGGGCAGCACAGCAGCTAAATGGTTAGTACTTCTGCCTGGCAGTATTAGGGTTGTTGGTTCAAATCTCAACCACAGCACCACCTGCCTGGAGTTTGCATGTTCTCCCTGTGCCTGTGTGGGTTTCCTCCCACATTCCAAAGACATGCTGGTAGGTTAATTGGATCCTGTCTAAACTGGCCCTAGTATGTGTATGTATGAATGTTAGAGACCTTACATTGTATACCCCTTAAGGGTTAGGAACTGATGTGAATGTACAATATATATATATATATATATATATATATATATATATATAAAGCACTGTGTAAACTGACAGCACTATATAAGTACCTGACATAAATTACAAAAATAATTAAAATAATTCAAATCAGACTTTTTCTGAGAGAAATACTGTTTTCCAAGCAATAATATTGATTTTCTGCCTCCAAAAGTTTCTAAATCACTGAATAGGAGGATGCAGTATATGCAGATTATGAGATCTGTCTTCACTATCAGCAATGGCAGGCTACATAATGGCTTCTCCCATCACAGGTTTCTTGAATGTGTGCTGTTTTGTATGTAATAAATTCTTTTATCATAATTTGGAAAATTTACTACATGTTTTAGGTAAGTTGAAATATTGCATCCATACAGAGTTCTGGTAGGGTACTGAGGTTACGAAGAGCTAGCATTGGATATTTTTTTTATGTGTATGCATGCTAAGTCATGCGTAAGTGCAACACTTCAACCTCGTTTAGACTTACAGTTGAGGAGCCTTAAAAAACGCACGGTTGAGCCAAGTTCTTGGTGCCCCTCAAACCAACCCCTCAAGTTGCAAAGGCAGTGGATGGGGTGTTTACATGCCTTCGTGTCTGTAGCAAAAATTATCACACCTGTCACTTTTGACGGGCAGTAAGCCTGCTGAAAGTAACCCATTCAAGTGAGTTGGAAAGCTCTGCAAATGACCTGAATGCGTATTGCTTTCAGAGGCTTGGCAATTTAGATGCAGTCTAAATTTAGCCTTACAGATCATTTTTTTTTTTTTCAAATAATAAATCATTAATCTGCCCTATCACTTTTGTCCCCAGTGTAAACTATCAGCAGTAAAATGAATTAATCATCCAAAATTATATAAACAAGAAACAGTGTAGCAATCCTTTCACTCTCCCTTTCTCCTATACCAAATCTATGATTAAAATAACATGCAACAATCTGTGTATATGTGTGAGATACAAAAAATGCCAAAAAAAAAAAATCACAACAGTGATCATGAGAAATATACCTATAAAATATACATCGAAAGTGATCACGTCAGCATCACAGTCTACAGTCCCTTGCACTGTCTAATAACTGTCCTCGTGAAAGGTTTATAGCAATTTTTCCATTGGCAACCACACGTGTTTAAGTGCTCCAAAGTATCACCGTTAAAGTGTTACTAAACCCAGGACCCTGCATTCACTATATCTGGTCTCCCACAGTACACACAACATGAAAATGCAATTATTTTAGTAAATATAAACTGCTAAATACCTTTTCTCATCAGCAGTTAGAGCAGTCTTGTGACTTCAGCAGAGCACTGGTTAAAGCTTGTAGGAGGAGTTTTCTTTCTGCTTTAGGAGGATGTGAAACCTCTGCACTCTCCCAAGAAAAAAAAAAACCTATCTAGCAATACACACCAAACTGAGCATGTGCATGTGACCACGGGTTCAGTCTGTATCAGGTGGTCATTTCAACAAGAGTAGGGGCAGAGAAGAAAGGATCAAACAGCCTTTTTACACATTGCAGAGGATTAACCCCTTAGGTTCCACAGTGAGTATAACAAGCATGCTTTACTACATATACAGACTGATTTTACTGCTGTGGATTTAGTAACACTTTAAGCTTCCAAAGTAAATACTGGCACTTGTACAGTTCTTAGCTGCGTTCTTAGCTGCGTTCACACGTCTGGCACAGGTTTAGAAAAGATTTCCTCTTTTGACTTGCTGCAAAAGTTACAGTATTACAATCTGATCACTGCAGGAGAGGAGATTTAGGAAATGCCTCCTCCTGTCTGCAGCAGACTAATGACATCATTTAATCCTAGTTTAAGTCACTTACTGGAGTTCAAACACTTTTTATTAATAAAAGGATTTTTTTTATAAATTATACTGTTTCTGCATATTGTGATATGTCAGGAATTTATTTAGGTGCCTTGTGTCTGTCTAGTGTGTATAACTTTTTGTTTTCTTACTGAATATACAAGTAACCTTTAAGTCTGTTTGCTGGCAGGATTGAATATTAATGATTTTTTTTTTCTTTAAATTACAGACAGATGTAACAAAGTGTGTTATCACTTCTGAATCCAGCCTGCGATCCCACTGGTTGGTCTCCAGCGCCTACAACTTAGGACATTTCTTAAAGGCAGTGATATTCTTTCTGCTTCGTGAACGATAACCTTCTGTGGCAGGCTGCATGTCCGTTAAAAATCACCAAGCAGACATTGCTTTCCTTCATTTCCTGTGGCGGGGTCCAAACTGTTCCTCGGTGAACTTGCAATGGAACATCTGTGACAACATGAACTAGATTTGGCCCAGATTGTGCTTTGTAAAATCAAGATCAGCCCACACTGCGCTATTTCCCTCGTCTCCAACACATCAGAGATGTTCCCGCAGTCAGGCTGAGTCTACAGCTTCCTCTCATTCAGTTGGGACCTTTTATAAACTCACCAGACTGTACTGTGATTAGACCAGAGTTTATTGTATATTTCTAGACTGTTAGAGGAACACAGTCAGTATTACAAAAGATACATATGGTGAAACGTCTGCTGTTACATAATTTCATATAGGTGTGCATTAACATGTTATATACCAACCATACCATGTTACAATCAGCTTGCAATGGCCTAGAAGAAAATGCCAACTAAAAGCAGGCTCATCATTGAGTATTTAATTAAATGGATAGTATGGGTATAATCAGTTTAGTTAGAAAGTAGTTCACCAAGTTCAAACTTGTACCAGCTCCATCAGTTACAGTGCATCCATGGTGGATAAGCATAAACATGTTCCACAGACATTCAAGCTGTCCCTGCAGGCTCAGGGAGCATCAGTTGTCAAACTGATCCGTCGACATTTAAATGAAATGAGAACGCTATGGCAGGAGAACACCAGGAGGACCCCACTGCTGACACAGAGACATAAAAAAAGCAAGACTACATGTTTGTCCAACAATGATGAAAGTATTCACAGCACTTAACTTTTTTTTCCCTTAACATTCTACAAACAATACTCAATAATGACGTGAAAGAAGTTTGTTTTGAAATCTTTGCAATTTATTAAAATAAAAAAGGAAAAAAAACACATGTACATAAGTATTCACAGCCTTTGCTCAATACTTTGTTGAAGGACCTTTAGCACCAATTACAGCCTCAAAGTCGTTTTGAGTATAATGCTACAAGCTTGGCACACCTATTTTGGGCAATTTCTCCCATTCTTCTTTGCAGTACCTCTCAAGCTCCATCAGGTTGGATGGGGAGTGTCGGTGCACAGCCATTTTCAGATCTCTCCAGAAATGTTCAATCGGGTTCAAGTCTGGGCTCTGGCTGGGCCACTCCAGGACATTCACATAGTTGGCCCATAGCCTCTCCTTTGTTATGTGGGCTTTGTTCTTAGGGTCGTTGTCCTGTTGAAAGATGAACCGTCGCTCCAGTCTAAGGTCCAGCGTGCTCTGGAACAAGTTTTCATCAATAATGTCTCTTTACATTGCTGCATTCATCTTTCCTTCCATCCTGACTAGTCTCCCAGTTCCTGCTGCTGAAAAAAATCACCATAGCATGATGCTGCCACCACCATGCTTCACTCTAGGGATGGTATTGTCCAGGTTGGTGAGCGGTGCCTGGTTTCCTCCAGACATGACACTTGGCATTCAGGCCAAAGAGTTCAATCTTTGTTTCATCAGACCAGAGTTTTGTTTCTCATGGTCTGAGAGTCCCTCAGGTGCCTATTGGCAAACTTCAGGCGTGGGCTGCCGTTTGCCTTCTACTGAGGAGTGGCTTCTGTCCGGCCACTCTACCATATAGGTCTGATTTGTGGAGTGCTGCAGAGATGGTTGTTCTTCTGGAAGATTCTCATCTCTCCACAGAGAAATGCTGGAGCTCTTTCAGAGTGCCCATTGGGTGCTTGGTTACCTCCCTGGCTAAGGCCCTTCTCCCTCGATCGCTCACTTTGGCCAAGCGGCCCGCTCTAGAAAGATTCCTGGTGGTTCCAAACTTCTTCCATTTACGGATGATGGAGGCCACTGTGCTCAATGGTACCTTCAATGTTGCAGAAAGTTTTCTGTACCCTTCCCCAGATCTGTGCCTTGATACAATCCTGTCTCAAAGGTTTATGGACAATCCCTTGGACTTCATGGCTTGGTTTGTGCTCTGACATGCACTGTTAACTACGGGATCTTATATAGACAGGTTTATGCCTTTCCTAATCATGTCCAATCAACTGAATTTCCCACAGGTGGACTCCAATCAAGTTGCGTAAACATCTCAAGGATGATCAGTGGGAACAGGATGCACCAGAGCTCAATTTTGACTGTCATGACAAAGTCTGTGAACACTTATGTACATGTGTTTTTTTTTTTCGTTTTTTTATTTTTAATAAATTGCAAAGATTTCAAAATGTACTTCTTTCACGTTGTCATTATGGGGTATTGTTTATAGAATGTTGAGGAAAAAATTAATCTAATCCGTTTTGGTATAAGGCTGTAACATAACAAAATGTGGCAAAAGTTAAGCTCTGTGAATACTTTCTGGATGCACTGTATGTTAAAGAGTAAGGCCAAACAAGAACCCCTGGGGCAACTATGCTCCTCTTGACTTTACAAAGTAGTCAGATCAAAAAATACCACACTATCATCAGTAATTATAACTGTGCATACAATAAAACAACAAACATCCAGTTCATTGTGAAATTCTGTTTTTTATTTTTGCAATTTCTACCTCATATAGCAGGACATCCCATAGCTTAGCATAAAGAACCAGTCTCTACAGGGATGATATATAGATGAATATCCACTGCCCTTCATACAGAACCAGCATGCCCTTATTGTTTGTATAGTCCTTGGATATAGTTATGCATATTGATCAGATCAAATCATAAACATTTTGTTTTCTAAACAAAATGAGCCCAGTTTTTCTAATGTTCTACTGTATATTAAAGGACACTTTGTTTTATTTCAATGTTATTTATTTCATTTTTTTGCAACGTAGAAATGTTAGAGGAAATGAAAATTTTACATTTCCTAGCCTAGGAAGAATTTATGAATTTTAAATGCATTTTATTACTTTCAACCTTTTGCACAACCACCTAATTTGCCGCTTTGCCCAAAGGGTATAATTGCCTTCAACTTCACTGTCTATAGGATCTTTCCTTTGGGGCCTCCCTGGCATCACAGAGTGCCTGCCTGAAACCTTCAGAAATCCTCTCACCTTTGGGATTTGAAAGAGAGATGCTTTGGCATGGAGATGAAGTATGGGGTCAGAATGCACCATGACAAAAAAAATGGAATACTGGAGAAGCCTTAAAAGCAATTGAATAGATAGGGTCTGATCCTACTCTCATTTTTCACTGCACACATACTGTATGTCATAGTTCTTGCATCCACAAATTACCGTGCAACAAGCATTACGGGTTAGAGGGAGTAAGAATGCCATATCATTGGAGGTTAGTGGGGGGACCAATGTCCCACCATCAGCTTCAGTGAGAGAAAGGATTCTCTTGGTGTCTGTGGTCATTGGGAGGAAGAAAGACATGGTGTTACAAGGGAAAGAATGCTCTTCAATCAGTAGTCATTGGGAGGGAATAATGCACTGAAATCAGTATCTGTGGGAGAAAAAAAAACACCCTAGCACTGGTGTCAGTGGGAAGAAAAAAAACACCCTGGTTTCATTATCAGTTGGAGAAAAAATGTGCTAGCATCAGTGTCAGGAGGGTAGAATGTCCTTACATCGGTGTCAGTGGGAGAAGAAAAAAATATTGGTATTTTTTGGAGAAGAAAAAATGCTCTGGTGGCAGTTTTAGTGACAGTGGGAAACAATGACTCTGGAGTTGGTGTCAATCCAAAGAAAAAATGCAGAGGCAACATTGTCAGTGTGAGGAGAAAATGCCATGCTGTGGGTGTCAGTGGAAGGAAAAACGTGCCCTGGAATTGGTGTCAATGAGAAGAAAAAAATGTCTTAGTGTTATGTCAGTGAGAGGACAAAACTACCTGACATTAGTGTTGGAAGGAAAAAACACTGTTGTCAGTGGAAGAAATGCCATGACATTGGTGCCAGTGGGAGATAAAAACTCCATGCCATGGGTATCAGTGGAAGAAAAAAATGCTCTGGCACTGGTGTCAGCAGGAAAAAAAAAATACCCTAGCTTTGGTGTCAATGGCAAGAAAAAATGTCCTGCCATTGGTGTCAGTATGAGGAAAAAATGCCTTAGGGTTGGTGTCGGAAGAAAAAAAAAAGGCCTGGCATCAGGGGCCAATGAGAATTGAAAATGTTCCAGGTTAGTAGTCAGTGGGAGGATAATGCACTAGTGTCAGGGTTCAGTGAGAAGAAAAATGCCCCAATATCTGGGTATTTGTTCCAGCACCTGGCATTGTGACTAGGCCCAGTTCAGTGAGACCCTGGGATTATAAATCTTGAGATGGATTTAGATTTAGGATGGTTGGGGGGGGTCTTTTTCTGGTTGATTTACAATGTAGCTGCTACTCACTTCAGTAAAAAGTTCATCTGCAGCCTGACAGTGATATTGTGTCTATGCGCTGTATACCCTATGATCAAAGCACTAGGGGAAGAGACGAGGTATAGAAAAGACTAAGCGTACTGAAAGTTCATCCTCTAAACATTTGATTGCTCTATGAAAGGGAAATGAAGTTGGAAATCTAATATACCTTGGTGCATTAGTGTGTTGCAGTAGTAGCATGTGATTATAAATTGCCCATACTTTTATACTGGATCAATGTCATCATGTACCCACTGTACTTAGTCATGTACTTGGTGGTCATGGACTTACCCAAAATAAATGGCAGTATGTCCACTGTCCTAGTGACCCCTGGTCCATTAATTCTTGCGCTGGTGATACACAGGTGTCACAGGGACACAAAGGGAAATATCTTCGAAGAGTGGAGTCACAGACAGATATAAAACCTATCAGTTGTGACCCTTTCCTACTTTATTCTAAATTAAAGAAAGTATTGCCTCAGCTGGACTTTAACATGCAAGTCAGATCAGTTTCTTAGAATATTACAATGATAAATAGATTTAATTAAAAAAAATCAAAACACCTGAGTTGCCTCATAGCAGTTTGAATCTTCTGGATTGAACCTACAAGACACAAGCAGCTTGGCTTGGGATCGAGCATGCAATAGTGACCCCATAGGAAGGGGGGGGGGTGCAGGAGCGCCAGCAGGGGATCCTAGAAGAGGAGGATCATGACTGCTCTGTGCAAAGCCATACAATGCAATGTTTGTTTGTTTTAACCATTTGCCCTCCAGAGAGTTTACCCCCCTTCGTGACCAGGCCATTTTTTGCGTTACAGCGCTGCGTTACTTTAACTGACAATTGCACGGTCATGCAATGCTGCACCCAAATTAAATTTATGTCTTTTTTTCACACAGATATAGCTTTCTTTCGGTGCTATTTGATCGCCTGTGCGGTTTTTATTTTTTGCGCTATAAACAAAAAAAATACTGACAATTTTGAGAAAAAAAATATATTTTTGACTTTTGCTATTAAACATGTCTAGTAAAAAAAAATTAAAAAAAATTAAATTTCATCATAAATTTAGGCCAAAATGTATTCTGCTTCATGTCTTTGCTAAAAAAAATTCCAATACGTTTAAATTAATTGGTTTACGTGAAAATTATAGCGTTTACAAATGGTGGTATATATACTGGAATTGTTTGTAAAATTGTTTTTTTTTTACTAGTAATGGCGGCGACCTATAGCGGGACTGCGGCAGGCATTCTGACACTGGGGGGGAACTGTCTTGGTGTCACTAATATCCCTAGAGACACCAATACAGTGATCAGTGCTAATGAAAAGTACTGACACTGTACTAATGGCACTGGGCAGGAAGGGGTTAACATGTGGGCAAAGGATTAACTGTGTACTGTTTCACATTATGTGCTGTGTGTGCTTTCAACTGTAAGCACACTGCTTTGAATGACTCTGCTATACAAAGCCATACTAAGCAGTGTGCAAGAGCTGACGGGAGAGAACTGTATTGTTTACATACAGTTCTCTCCGTCGGTAAAACTCGGTGATCACCGGGTGCCAACAAGTAATCACCGGCCAGGACCTGGTGATTGACAGCCGAGGCCGCGAACGGCAGCACGGGCGGCCCCTACCCGGAACTGCAAAATCATATATATATATATATATATATATATATATATATGTAATTTTGCTCACCCGTGCCACCCTGTAGCAGTATTTCTGCTATAGAGCAGACAGGAATCGGTTAAAGAAAGTTTTACAATCACTCTAATATCTTTTTATGTGACAATCTATGATTTAGGATTCTATTATCAATCTTTTCACCAAAATTCAAACAATTCTCTCCCAAGATTCACACATTTTTCAAATTGAATCCTATGTAAAAAAATGTTGAAGCTTGGGTGAAAATATTACTAAATAGTTTCCTTGGTTTTGCTTTGTGACTAGGGCTATCATTCCTTGACTTCATGGCTAAACTCCACCACAGCTGCCATTCTGCTGTCCAATGAGACTGTCAGCATCTGACTGACTCAGTTTAAACTGTTTCAAGGATGCAGCAATTATTATTATTATTACACAGGATTTATATAGCACCAACAGTTTGCGCAGTGCTTTACAAATGAAGGTAGACATTACAGTCACAATACAATTTGGTACAAGAGGAAACAGAGGGCCCTGCTCGTTAGAGATTTAGGAGGAAGGGTTGAATAATACCAAAGGTAATAGCTGTGGGGGATGAGCCGATGGAGGAAATAAAAAGCAGTTTGTTAGTTAGAAGCAGGATGGGCTTCTTTAAAGAGAAGGGTTTTCAGGGATCAGGTGGGTAGATTAGGAGAGAGTCTGACAGATTGGGTTAGGGAGTTCCATAGGATGGGAGAAGCTGGAGGCAAGCATGAGAGGAGATGACACGAGAACTAGAGATCAGAAGGTCTTGGAAGGATCGAAGAGAACGGTTTGGTTGATATTTTGAGACCAGGTTGGTGATGTAGCTGGGGGCAGAGTTGTGGATGGCTTTGTAAGTTGCTAGTATTTTGAATTTTATTCGTTGGGCGAGTGGAAGCCAGTGGAGGGATTATCAGAGAGGGGTAGCAGACACTGAACAATCAACATTTTTCAATATGGCACTGCTGCAAACAGCATGGCTACAAAGTGAACTGTTTTAAACAATGGTACATAACTCTGTTTATGGTTTAGGATTGGTTATTAGGTTCAGAAAAATGCTAAATTGTGTGAGTTTAATCACATTGTACAGGAAAACATTTCAGCCAAATGAAACTGTTACAAATGAGTGCAATACTGCAATGTCCCTATGTTGTTGTTTTAGCCTGAAATACTTTGGGGACCAGCCAGCAGGGGTCTAAAAGGATCATGAATTCTACCGCATCATAATGAGATCAACATTGTCACATGACCTTTCCAATAAGAATTTACTAAGAGCTAAAGGCATGAAATGAAAACCCAAGATTCCATCTCATTAACAGACTCCCACTCCAAACAAAACATCTGATTCTGCCAACATTTTGCTGGAAAACAATGTTGATGCTTTAAACATGCTAAGTAGTGAGGATTTTGTGATATATTGCTGGATTTTAATTGTACAATGACCCCGAGCCAAAATGAAAAAAAACTTTTATGATATTTTAGAAACAAGACCCAACTAGATTGGAAACGTCAACTAAGTAAGGTTTGCTGAACTAACCCATCATTGGTTAAAAGGCAGGCCCTGTTTTTGGCATAATTTGATCTGTAGGACTTTTCATACAAATTAGACAGGTACCATATGTTAAATGCTAATGCACCATAGAATTTAATAATCCACCTTTAACCGTTTCAATACCGTGCAATTTTACACCTTCCTGCCCAGGCCATTTTTCATGTTTCAGCGCTCTCACACTTTGAATGACAATTGCGCGGTCATACAACATTGTACCCAAACTAAAATTTTATAATTTTCTTCACACAACTAGAGCTTTCTTTTGGTGGTATTTAATCACCGCTGGGGTTTTTATTTTTTGCTAAATTAACAAAAAAAGACCAAAAATTTTGAAAAAAAAAACACAGTTTTCTTTGTTTCTGTTATAAAAGTTTACAAATAAATAATTGTTCTTCATAAATTTAGGCCGAGATGTATTCTGCTACATGTCTTTGGTGAAAATAACCCAAATTAGGATGTATTTTTTAGTTTGTAGGAAAGTTATAGAGTTCACAAACTATGGTATAGATCTGAATATTGATCAATCCTGAAGTACTGACAGCCAATCTAATTTCTTGAGGTCCAAGAATGTCAGAATAGTACAGATATCCCCAAATGACCCCTTTTTGCAGAGTAGACAGTCCGACGTACTTCATAAGAGGCATGGCGAGTTTTTTGAAGTTGTATTTTTTTGTCATAATTTTTCGGAAAATTAAAATATTAAAAAAATTATTTTCACTATTTTTTTTTTACATACTGTCACCAGTGCAGTACAGCGTCATCATATAACTGGCATGGCGGTGAACAGGGACACTGACTGATGACAGTATGAAAAAAAAAAATATATATATTTTTTTAATTTTTTTTTATTATATTTAATTTTTTATTACATTTTTTTTTTTATTTTTTTTAAGATTTCTTTTTCATATTTTACTATGACCAAAGTAGTACAATGTTACCATAGTAACATTGTACTACTTTGGGGAAGTGATCAGTATTTTTTTTTTTTTTTTTTACACAATTTGCTTATAGCAAAGAATTACTTTGCTATAAGCAAGCATTTACCTGAATGAAATCGATTCATTCAGCTGTTATTTATTTTTTTTTGTGCTTAGTTGTGATTTGGTCACAGCTAATCACATGACATGTGCATGTGATTAGCTGTGACCATTCACAGCTAGGCACTAGTATACAATGGATGGCATCATGAATGAAGCCATCCATTGTATACAACTGTCATGTGACCTGCTGTGATTGGTCACAGCAGGTCACATGGTACCAGCAACGGGAGCCGGTAATCGGATCTGTCATCGGCCGTGTCCGAGGTGCACGGCCGGTGACAGATCGCACTGCTGCGCCGCTCTGCATTAGCGCAAACTGCGCATGTGCGGGAGCATGCCAAATGGCTTGCACCCGGAATGGAGAGACACTTCTGAAGCCGCCAAACGGCCATTGGCCGGGCGGCTAATAGTTAATTGAATGGGTCGAAGTACTGTATCTGAGAGCTTTATGCAGTATAACAAATGTAAAGTATTATATTGACTGAACTGAGAAAAAAATTAATCTACAAACACGGAAAGGAGAGCTGTGAAAATGTGGAATAAACTCCCTCAAGAGTTGGTTTCTGGGTCCGCTTAGTGGATTGCTTTAAAAAAGGCCTGGATTCTTTCCTAGATACACAGAATATAACTGGATACTAACATTTATAGGTAAAGTTGATCCAGGGAATATCCGATTGCCTTTCGGGAATCAGGAAGGAATTTTTTCTCCTGCAGGAGCAAATTTGATCATGCTTTGCTGGGCTTTTTTTTTTTTTTTGCCTTCGTCCGGATCAACTATTGGTATAGGATTATAATTTTTTTTTTTAATGGTTGATCTGGATGGACTTTTGTCTTTTTTCAGCCAGACTATGTAACTATATGTAAACTGGATGAATAATTGGCCCAAAATGGGTATATTGGTTCAAAGCCCTAATCTTGATATTTCAGCTTATGATGCATACTAGCAGGTTAAGTCATTGACTGGTCATGTTGTTTAACCCCTTGACGCCGAGTGCACGCAAATATGCGGTCTCTCAGCGTCTGGGCCTTGACGCCGAGCGGCCACATATTTGCGTGCCATTAGAAAATACATATGTGCTGAGAGCGCGTGCCCTGCGCTCTACCAGCACATATGTCTATGACTCACGGAAAGATCTCCCCTTGCGATCGGAACCTTTTCCAATCATGTGACTGCCGTGACGGGGAATCATGGTGGTCACATGACCCTAAAACCCCTCCTGCCTCCCAGCTTCTGAAACTCTTAAAGGGCCGGGAGGCACCTGCGCGAAGTGGTTAACTAGTTGCCGACCGCAGATAGCCGAATGACGGCTTCACTGCGGCCGGCCAGTTCTGGGTGGACGTCATATGACGTCCCCCCAGAACGCGCTCTCCCTGCGCGCCCCAGGGGGCGCGCACCCGGCGATCTCCGTGATCGCTGTGTCCTACGGACACAGCTGATCACGTGATGAGGTAAAAGGCCGATCCCAGCGGCCTTTTACCACGTCATCAGCGGTGTCCAATGACACGCTGATCACAGGGAAATGAAAGTGCTGGTTCTCGGCTGCACTTTCCTCACGCTGTCAGATCGTGAGGAAAGTACTGCCCGAGAACCGGCAGTTGTCACAGCGGGGATCGGCACCGATCATCAGGACACTGATGATCAGTGCCCTGATGATCGGTGCCCAGCAGTGCCAACCCGCAAGTTCCGCCCACCTGTGCCCAGCAGTGCGCCCACTAGCTCCGCCCACCTGTGCCCAGCAGATCACCCACCTGTGCCCAGCAGTGCACCCACCTGTGCCACTCTGCAGTGTCACACACCTGTGCCCAGAAGTGCCACCTACCTGTGCCCAGAAGTGCCACCCACCTGTACCCACCCACCTGTGCCCACCAGTGCCACCCACCTGTGCCCACCCACCAGTGCTGCCCACCAGTGCCACCCACCAGTGCAGCCCAGCAGTGCTGCCAGTCAGTGCCCAGGGGTTGTGCCAGTCAGTGCCGCCAGTCAGTGCCCAACAGTGATGCCAGTCAGTGCCGTCTATCAGTACCCATCATCAGTGTCACCTATCAGTGCCGCCTATTAGTGCTGCATATTAGTGCCGCCTATCCGTCACACCTCATTAGTGCTGTCTATCAGTGCCGCCTATCCGTGCCACCTCATTAGTACTGCCTATCAGTGCCCTTTAGTGCTGCCTATCAGTGCCCATCAGTGCCGCCTATCAGTGCCCATCAGTGCTGCCTCATCAACGCACATCAGTGAAGGAGAAAAATACCTGTTTGAAAAATTTTATAATAGAAACAAAGAAAATTTTTTTTTTTTTTTTTCAAATTTTTTGCACTTTTTTTATTTATAGCGCAAAAAGTAAAGTGCCCAGTGGCAATTAAATACCACCAAAAGAAAGCTCTATTTGTGAGAAAAAAATGATCAAAATTTCATATGGGTACAATGTTGCATGACTGCGCAATTGTCAATCAAAGTGCGGCAGTGCTGAAAGCTGAAAATTGGCCTGGTAAGGAAGGGGGTATAAGTGCCTGGTAGGCAAGTGGTTAAAGTATAACTAAAGACAAAACTTTTGGTTTTGATAGCATGAGGAGGGATTAGAACCCCTATCAGGTTTTTTTTATATACTACAGGGAGGACACCTTTCGCCTAGGTGATCGGACCGGAGTGGGAGCGGGTACCTGTCAAATTTGGGTACCCGTCTCCCCCCGCCCACACCGGTGCCAATCCTTAATGGGGAGCAGTCCTTAAAGCGGAACTTTCCCTTTTGTGTGGAGCTCCGCCTTAACACTACACTTTGAAACAAGGGAAAATGGCCACCATAACAATCTGGACCCTTAGAAAATGGCCACTGTCACTTAACTATATATCTATTGAAAAATGGCCACAGTGAACTTCAGCAAAATGGCCACTGCCAATAATTGATCCATACACTATATAAGGATCCTCTTGCCTGCCCTCTGATGAAGTCCGTGGGCTGATGAACGCGTAAGGGGCTTGGCTCTGGGCAGACATGAATAGTGAGTTCAGCTGACAAGTAAAGCTTGCATCTGATGATTTTATGGCATTTTATTAATTTACTACATGTGAGTGTATTACTGCTTCCTAATAAATTTCTATATTAGTACATACTGCACCATGGGAGTGTCCTTTGTTCCATTTAAGGATAGAAATGTGCGACCTCCATCACCCTTAAACGGACCGATCCCTGGCTCTGGTTTGACAATCTATTGAAAGCTCAAATGTGTCTGATTACTATCACATGGTTGTGGATTAAAAAAGTGAAAAATCCTTTTGTCTATTTGATATCATAAAGCGCATTTCCATGTGCTGAGGTGAGAGTTCTGTGAGCACAGAGGTGGCACTATATATTATGTGCACTATTTTACTTGATGGTGTTTGGGATATGAGCACAAGAAGAAAACGCATTAATTATGGAAGAATCTTTATTACAAATTGATTGATTTTACATATATGGATGATTTATTCAGCTGTCACTCTTTGTAGCTATTATTTAGCAGCGCTACATCACTTTTTTTTAATTAGCGTGAGGAAAGTGCTGCCGATAAATTGCCAAATGTATTTACTCCATGATCTGCTATGTCATTGGACACAGCTTATCACCTGCTAAAAGGCAGCTGTGATTGGCCTTTTACCTCATGTGATCAGCTGTGTCCGTAGGACACAGCAATCATGGAGATCACCCGGGGCACGCGTTCTGGGAGGACGCCATATGACGCCCTCCCAGAACTGGGTAACCGCGCTGCAGCCGTCATTCTGCTATAGCAAGGTTACCAAGTGGTTAAAGCATGACATATTGGGTATTTACTCAGCCTAACATCTTTCATATTTTACAAAAAAATTGGGGTATTGTGTTTTTTTTTTTTTTAAATCATTAAAGTGTAATTTTTTTTCAAAAAAACTGCATTTGAAAAATATACATTTTTAAAAAATGTTAATTTCTGTTTTCAGCCAAGTGCATTCTGTATTTTAGGTTTTGGCACCAGTATTTTCATTTCTGTGCACCACTAAATATTATACTCCAATATTCAGTAATCTCTAAGACATCTTGCTGTTTTTAATTTGATTTAAAATTCCCATTAAAATATTGAAACTTCTTAGTGTGTCAGAAGGAACCACAGTGGTTGCCCAAACATTCGACACAACTGGATGTGAAGATTTTGCCACGGGCTCTTCTTTTCTGTCAGAGAAATAATAACATGGATCTAAACCCAATCACCCAACGACAGAACGATTTTTTTTTTTTTTACGGACCGCAGGAGCTAGTCATCAAGCATTCACAGCACATTATGGCACAAAAAAAGTGCCTTCTTACAAAGAAGGGACTTAGCAATTTTCTATGATATGCAGTGGTTTAGCAAACTGAATGTCTTCCAGGTAAGGTTTACATTTACTTTAAGGCCACACTTGCAGTTACGGCCATCAGTGGATTCTTTGGAATCAGGTAGGTACAAACAGCTGTGGCCAGGAAGCCTGTACAAAGCAATGACAGGAGCCGCGGCTATCCGAATGTATTCCTGCATCCTGAGGTTAGGGACAAATGATAGGCCCTGAACGCAGAAAGATTGAAACCAGGACCAATCTGTCCCTAAACTGTAGGTCACTTCCCTTTCTCTGTCAATTGACAGTAATACTTTAGGCCTAATTCACATTGAGCATTAGCTACCCTGGGCTGTGAGCTCGGCTTGAGGAGGCCCCAGAAGTTGTGTTCAGGGTATGCAGTGAATGTGCGGATGAAAGCAGATGAAGAAGTGCCTGTTCAGGAACAGACTGTAAAATCTGGAGGAGAAAGTATGTTGAAGGGGAAAAGGCACACATGTGAGTAGATGAAAAAGCAGCATTTTACCCCATGCTAAGTAGTTACAAAAATAAACAGTGCTATAATTTGTATGGAGAGCTGCGTTATGGCTGGGCTGACTGAGCAATTGCAGACCACTCTGAGGAAGAGGGTCTTCTATCTGGGAATCTCGCATCTTTTTAGCACATCTGGTGATGAGTGACATTGGTGTTCTGTTTGGCCACAAATGAAGGAGGCAGTTCACTCACTGAATTTAAAAAGGAACTTGGCACTTATTCATTGATGCATGTTTATTGTTATTTTTTTTTGAACGATCAAATTTTGGAATCACTATTTATATTTTTTGCACATAATAGCACAACACATTATTTTATGGTTCATTAGAGAGGATCAAGTCTTTTCTGTTTGCGGCTTAAATTCTCTTTATGCACAATTTCCATTTTTATCATTTATTTAGCCCCATCACCTGAGGCTCTGGCGTTTAGGTGCAGGTGAAAGAAGAGGATCACTGCCCCCCCCCCCCCCCCCCCCCCCACTGGAGGCAGCCTGTCAAACTCTATGAAAGGCTGACAGCAGATAAGGCTGGATGGTGCACAGAACAGTACATATGTTTAGTGCAGTATGCACTCAGGGACAAATGCCCAGGTTGCAGATTGCTTACATTCTGGGCATGTATCACCATAAATGTTTGTACCAATAGGTGCACTGTTTAGCCACAACTGTCAGCCGCTCAGAGTTTGACAGGCTGCTGGCAGTGGGCTTTGATGGTGCACCTGTGAGGCCTTAAAATTAATACCAACAACATGAAATTTAAAGTGTAAGTAAATCTTCAGCAACTTTTTACAAAAATCCCCTTATGCAATTCCAGATCCCATGACCCCCCCCGGTTCACATATATGCGGCCATGCGGGCCGCGTTTTGCACGGGCACAAGAGCCCATTCATTTGAATGGACTCCGGTGTCCGTGACACGCAGGGAAGAAGTCCCTGCACTTCTTTGGAAAAATGCAGCCCGCACAGGAACCTCGGTTCCCAGTACGGTTGCGTTTTCCAGTGCGGGCAGCGTGCCATTAGAACTAATGGCACCCGCCTGTGGGTCCGCATTTCTCTGTGCGGGTTGTGTGGCTGCATGGATTTTCGTGGGGATCCGCAGCAGCACCACGCGATCAGATGTGAAACTAGGGTAACCAGCAGCCCTCATTTTAAAATGCTGCTCCTGCTTTCCTTTCATGTACGCAGCAGTGGGGGAGCCTCTTGACAGAAACTACTGGCCTCTCGATAGCCCTCTGTCCTGCTGTGTGCTACAATTGTGTGCCCTTAGAGGCTGCTCAGGCCCGTTCAAACAGCGATCTGTCCTTCTCTAGCTACAGTGGCCAAGGTACTACTTTTGTCAGCGAGGAAAAGTCCATGCGCACAATTTAAATGGGCTAAGGGGCATACTCTTGCAGCATCCGCCCTGCGAACAGTCTGCGACCAGGGGCATTCACTACTTGGGCAATAACATGTGAGTGGCCATGATTAGTTGCGGGAGCTGTCTGCCTCCTATTTCTTTTAATGGGGCTTCGGCCCACAGCTAATCACCAGGAAGGATTAGCTGGTTCTCCCTCATGTAATCAAAGAGACCCCATTTGCAAGTTCGACTGGGGCCATAAAGGGAAATTACAGTGTATATCATTTACTCTTCCAGCACAATCTGCACTCAGATTGATCTCAGGCTGCATCCTGTAGCCACACCCCCCCTGACAGTGACAGCCTACATATCAACTGCCTAGCAACCGACACCTCACTATACAGTAAATAATGATGTGATTGTAGATTGCCATCCAAAAAAAAAAAAAAACACATGGAGCTGGTAAGTTACTTTTCCCATTGCCCTGCAGGGTCAGGGTAGATCACAGTATATCTACAAGTTTTTAACACTGATTTGTTTCTAGTGAAAACTCATCTTGATGCTAAATATCTGTAGAGATATCAGTAGTAATAACATTAAGCCTGGGTTCACACTTGTGCATTGTGGCATACCGCATGTGATTCGCACAGGAACTGCATGTGATTCCCACAGGAACCGCACTGTATTCCTGTGAAAATCACATACGGTGCAATTTAAGCCACACATTTTCAAACCACACCGCATTTGCACCAAAAAGGTGCAGGACCCTTTTTTTGGTCCGCACTAGAATCGGATCGTATGGGTATTCACACCCATGCGATCAGATTCTGCTCATT